CGAGTGTCTGTACGGGGAATGTGGTGATGCGTATGGTCCATTTAACATCAGACATGAGCTAGGGGTAAGCTGATGTTCACTCTCGACGGTTTCTGGGGATAATTTGAAACGGAAATTTGAATGTCTTGCATTTTTTCTCGATCGTGTCTGAAAGATAAACGATGCATTTATCATCCTGACAACATTGTTGGTTGAACTGTGTGTATTTGAAATAAACCTGAGAAACCCATGGGACTACAGTAACGTAAGTGTGATGTCCGTTGACCATATTGTTTCGGGATCTATTCGAATGGTAATTTTCTTTACAGATAAAACGTGCAACTATTTAAACCTTCCGTGTGTATCTCTAAAGATAGTTTACTCCAACATTCTTATCGTGTAACATAATAGTATAAGTAGACATCGGCTCCCGTTAGAGCAAAACCACTATTTGTCCAAGAGTGAGTGAGTGAGTGAGTGAGTGAGTGAGTGAGTGAGTAAGTGAGTGAGTGAGTGAGTGAGTGTTATATATTTAGATTCCAGCAGGAGGCATCATTGTGACGAGCGAAGGCTGTAACCGGTAACTTATCCAAAATCAATTGCAACAAAGTTAGGCTGACAAATTCTATTTATTATATTGACAATAAGTTCAAAATCTTCTCTGAAAGAATTACGTGGCGATTCCTGTACGAAAGAGCTTCAGGTGGTAAGTCCCGTTGACTAGCCTGGTTTTGACTCATCATGCCCCACTGCCTTGGATCGTTGTTCATACTTTCAGTCACTGGTTTACAGGGTTCAGACCCGATTTAAGACTGACGTGTTATAGCTGGACAATTGCTGACAACGGTGTTAAATAACCTCAGAATTAAGCAGCAAAATACGCCATCAAACGGCTGACTATAACCTAAAAACTGGTCACGTATGTTTATATACATGTAATTAGCACCGTGGTGGCCTTTCAAAACAAATACACTGTACAAGTAATTTAACATTGTCTCACTTCGGCTTATATTTAACATTTGAAACCATGTAAATAAGAAGAGAGATACTTCTGTTTAGACGTTATAGTGCGTGAGTGAGGATAGTTTTACGCCGCAATATTCCAGCAATATCACGACAGGGAATACACTGCACATAGATGAGGAATCGAACCCGGGTTTTCGGCGTGAACGCTAAACCACAAGACTTCCCCACCTTCCCCTTGAGGGTTATGGAAGTGCAACTCAAGCAATCAGGAGACGTTGAATCTTCGCAGTACCGGGTCAGAGTGAGTGAGTGAGTATGGTTTTACGCCGCTTTTAGCAATATTCCAGCAATATCAGCGGGGGACACCTGAAATGGGCTTCACACATTGAACCCATGTCGGAAATCGAACCCGGGTCTTCGGCGTCACGAGCGAACGCTTACACCACTAGGCTACCCGACCGCCCCCCGGGTTAGAATAGATCTCTAGTGGTTGCCTTAAGAACGGAAAGAACGTGCCATTGTATTCCGTTGTGGTTTGCTGTTTACCACTGGTTCGCCTTGCCGAGACAGATTCTTTGCAATTTGTCCTATTATATTGCCGACTGCGGCGCAAATAATTCTATTTTTTTGTAAACTCGATGGATATTTACACAAGTGCAATGAATATATTTACAATGTGCCAGATCTAAATGCACTGCGATTGCCAATTCAAAATGTTATCGTTCGATTTGTAATAACATTTTTTTTTGTAAATGAGAATCGTTCATTATCTTTTTAAATCACAAATCTGTTTTCAAGGTGTACCGATATTCCGGTTTTAAGCATATTTAATAAACATAATAAGCAATTCCATTCAAATTTTCCAGAGACAATAAAAAAGTGTTCACATATGGGGCGACAGCTTGACGCAGAACAATGTTTAAAGAAAGGTTTGGTGTTAATGTCATTTCATGCAAGTGTGTGCCCTACCCATCTTTCAGTATTTCAATGCACTTTAAAACTCCAGTATTTGGATACGTAAAATAATAGCGACAACCGTTGTTGGTAGTGATCGAGCTAGACTTACGCCGCTTTTAACATTATTCCTTCTTATACAACGTGCACACGTGGGCGGAGAGACTATTGTGTCAGATGGTGATGACAATGGAGGTAAACCTGAGAGAATGTGTGAGTTGTGTTCAGGTTAACGAGAGGACACTTTGAAAGATTTACAATACTGTAGTCCACTTGGCGACTATATTGATAGGGTGCGGTTGGCGCATTCAAAATGAAGGATGGTCTACCAACAAAATGTCATTTATAGTTCGTTTTCTTCTGTGAAATGAAATTATTTCATGCACAGGCGATAACTATGGGTTTTTATAACAGCCTTGCAAAAGAATGTATGCACTATGTTTGATGGTGGCTGGAAATGATACAAGTAAAAAGTGGTTATTCGATGGTGATGTATTTGAATGTATCATAGGCGATATTACATGCATCACTTAATGAGGTATCACAACAGGTGACGTTCACATGATATCTAAGGGAACACGGGGGTCGCAATTTAAATCAAATTTTAAAGTGCATGCTTTCTTTTGCCCGGCAGGTTACATGATAGTAAACATTATTGTATGATGAGTGAGTGAGTGAGTATGGTTTTACGCCGCTTTTAGCAATATTCCAGCAATATCACTGCGAGGGACACCAGAAATGGGCTTCACACATTGTACCCATGTCGGGAATCGAACCCGGGTCTTTGGCGTGACGAGCGAATGCTTTAACCACTAGGCTACCCGACCGCCCCTGTTGTATGCTGAAAAGGCGGAGAGGCAGGCGACGAGGTAGCTTAGTGGTTAAACCATTAGCTTGTCACGCCGAAGACCTGGGTTCGATTTCCCGCATGGCTACAAGTTACGAAGCCCATTTGTTGGTTATCCCACCACAAAAGGCTAGAAAGCTGTTTAATAGTGGTTTAAACCACAGGTCATTCACTAACACCAGAAAGTAGGTTGTCAATATTCATAACACAAAGGTCGTTAAAGATGCTGATCGTGCAATCTTTAGTTTCCACCCGTAAGAGACCCGTATGTATGTTGTTTACATGCATATGTCAATCATATACCAGTGCATACACAAATCTCAACACAGACAGACACGCTAGGGAGTCTTTCAATAATGGATGTGCTCGGGCATTATAATAACATACCTGCCAGTTTTGGTAATTTATTATGAGTAACACTGAATATTTTCGTCTAATGTACTACATGCACTGACAGTGAGTAATTGCCTAAGTCAATTATACCGTGGACTCGCACTGAAATAGCTGAACAACAAAACTGCGACCCGGAACAAACTACAGTAAACTACGGTTATAACGAACTCAAAGGGACTACTAATTTTAGTTCGTTATAACCGTAATTCGTTATAAGCATATGTACAGCATAATAACAGCATATAGTCGGGACTAAAAAGCTAGTTCGTTATATCCGTTAGTTCGTTATAAGCGTGTTCGTTATAACCGTAGTTTACTGCATATGAGTTAGGCAATTTCAAAGCAAGTATATTTTGCGGGAACACCTGGAACAGAATCGTTATGAAGTGGGTTTCACCTGATGGTAAACGTGTAATATTGTGAGAGAATGCGGTTTTACGCCGCTTTTTTTTACAATATTCCAACTGTCACAAATTGAAACACGAAATGGGCCTCACACATTGTACCCCGTGTTGTGAATCGAATATAAAACATCAACGACAGCGAATAAAAAGGCATTGCGTAAAAGGCAAAATGTCAGTGAAAATTATATGAATGAATCACTGAAAATCAGTGATGACACCAGGTGTTCGCGAAAAGGGTAGGCCTGTTCTGCCCTACCGGTAGCACCCACCACTCACGCAATTTGCATGAAAAAACAATGAGTGTTTTTTACCAGACGCCATACAGTCTCACCCCAGGCCTACAGCACAACCCAGGCCTTTTGCGTGGCGAACGCTTTAACCATGACACCCCACAGATACCCCACTGACATTTTGTTAATACATGAACACATCTCAGTCAAACTGTCTTGTCATGTAAATGGTAAGCATGGGGTTTAATAAGGACGTAGCTTTTGAATTATGACTCCGCGAAGTGAAGTTGTTGGAGTAATTGACGGGTATAGGATTGTTTGTGTGAGCAGTGATTGGCTGAGTGAATTATCTTCTTGTTCTCATTCACAGGTCTCATAAAACAGTATTGGTGGTTATAAAGGATTAAAAAAAATTGATTCTGAAATATGCATGTTTATACTTCATTAGCTACAAAATTGCATGCTGTATTCTTCTTGAAGGGTTCTCAACAAGGTAATTTACAACAGATGGAAAACCCCATTCACCGCGACAAGGACGAGACGCATCATAAAATCTAGATGCATATCATCCAATATACGTTACACAATACGTTTGAGACATGCCTCTCGGGGACTAATAATACGAATCTATTGAATTCAATTGTGGTGAATTTTGCTTGTGTGAGCATGCACTTGGCTGTTATCATGGTACTGAATATTGCTGTTGATCGCTATACATATCCAGACATACAATATTTTTTCATGAATACTTTTGTTGGTTGTAGAAGTGTTCACAGTCCAATCTGGTCCATATTTATGCTCAATGAACGTTTAACACTGCTCAGGAGTACATTTTGATTTTATAGGAATATGTAAGTAGCTTTTAAACACTGATATAATCACGTATCTCATAAACATATCATTTTAAATAGACATGGCATAGTATCTAGTTAGCTTAGTATCTTACACTGTAAACGTGATACTAGAAGTCACAATTTTATGCATGTCGCGTTTCACCAGTGTTATTCAAGAATATAACCCATGTTAATCATATCTATTTATGAAAAGCTTAGAAATGTAGCATGTCTATATTCAACGTAATGTTAAAGTAAACAATATTAACAATCAACGCCAGATTAAGGAAAAGGGGTATCAAATTTCACATTAACAGTTTCAACTATGGTGATAAAATTCCTGCAATGTCTTCGATAAGGTGTTAATCCTGTGCCCCAAATCTCCCATACTTACCTCTTAACCTGTCTAAGGTCACTCGATGCGGAGCAACCTTGGATATATAGCCGGACCAGTAGTCCTAACTTGTTGATAGCCTATCCGTGACCGCAGCACGAGAGATAAGAGCCATCTTCACATAGCTATATACACATGTACATTGCAGTCAATCACAGCTGTCCGCGCCTCGTCTTGTAACCGCCATGCACATGTTACGGGTAACATATTCCAGACATGACTTTAAAACAGCAGAAGCTTGACAACGTAGTTTAAAGATATGGCGTGAAGAAATGTCAACACGGCTTGTCTCAGCCGAATGTCGAAACACAACTACTTGTCGAATTCCAATACACCACTACCCTCTATACCCCGACCGCTGTAGGAAGTCCCGTGTAGATAAGAAAAACTTGTCCACGCTTAGATGACTATACGTTACTAGTCGAAACGGGTGAGCGATCACTGAGAAAACATTTAGGAAACCGCAACTATTGCTTCCGAGATGAAATGGAGGCATGTTTACTTCGAACAAACCGGTTGAAGCTTATTGTTGGAGGAGATATAGAAAAATGTTTTTTCAACGTGTTGGCTGGGGAAGGCGGTGGGGTGTATGAATGACTATATATACGAATGGAATGCTTGTTATCGCGACAGCGAGGGAAATCCGATGAAACGTTTTTTGCTTGAGGTATTGCTATCATTTTATTACAACAGCCTCATTAAAAAACTATTTGCACGGATTTACGCAATTCAGCTTTGCCCCGTTAACTGCCTTCCATCCTGGACCTATCACCGATCACGGAGTTACCGCCCTTGATTTCTGTAATCCTGTCATTTCTGGTCTATTTCGTTTGTGTAGAATATTAACAGTGGTGTTAAATGGATTTTCGTGAATTGTATATTTGTACGTGGAGCAATAATGTATGATTGTTAGGCATAACGTAGGGTGTCACGGTCACACGGTGCATAACTGGATGAGTTTGGTTTAATGTTGGTAAGGGGCGGTCGGGTACCCTAGTGGTTAAAGTATTCGCTCGTCACGCTGAAACCCCGGGTTCGATTCCCGACATGGGTACAATGTGTGAAGCCCATTTCTGGTGTCCCGCGCCGTGATATTGCTTGAATATTGCTAAAAGCGGCGTAAAATCAAAACCCACTCACTTACTAATGTTGCTAAGAACAGTATTTCAGTTATATCACGGCTATGATATGTCATCACTTTGGTGAAAGCCTTAAGCACGAGTGGGATGCTTTCAAACCTAGATTTCGATTCCTGACATGGGTACAATGTGTGAGTCCCATTTCTGGTGTCCCACGCAGTGATATTGCTGCCCCAGTGGAATATTGCTAAAAGCGGCGTAAAACCATTCTTACTCACTCACTTAAACCGAGAAACATTATCATGGCGTATCTGGGATTCGAACGTACGGTCATAGGTTTCTGGCAAACCTCGGGGCACAAGTGCCCCATCGTTGTATAAGCAGAAGCAGTACCACGGAGAGTGAGTGAGTGAGTTGGGTTTAACGCCGCTAACAGTAGTCCAGTTATATCACTGCGTGTCAGCTTAATGTGTGAGGAAAGACAGAAGTGATGCATGTCTCAGACGTTTACCACTTTGGTGCAACTCGCGAGCACGGGTATGGTGCTGACGAACCTGGAAACATAATCGGAGCGAACCAGGATTCGGACCCACGATCATAGTTTTCTGGCGTGTCCAAGGGACGCAACTCTGCACAGCGTATTTCCGTGCCCCCTCCACCGAGTGAGTAATCATACACGCAGGGACACCAGAAAGGGGGTTAACACAATGTACCCATGTCGGGAATCGAACCCGGGTCTTCGGCGTGACGAACAAGCGCTTTAACCACTAGGTTACCCGACCGCCACAAAACCCTATCATAAGCAACATGTCATTGTGTTTAGTAATCAGCATGTAATTTAGTATGACTTAACTTTCTTTATCGTCATTTGTTGTAGTTTGATGGCCACTGGAACCCACCAGCGTGTACTCAGCTCCTGTATCGCCTTATCGGTCGGTACAGTGTAGAAATAACAACTTTCTGCAAATGTGCCATGGTAATTAACTAACGATATGTTGGAAAAACATGTTCGTATCTTATCTTACTGACTGAGCTACATATATATGGGACCGCCTCCGTGGTCTAGTGGTAGAGCGTCCGCCCGGGGAGCGGACGGTCCGGGGTTCGATCCCCGACCGCGTCATACCAAAAAACGTTAAAAGATGGTACTTGTAGTTACCCTGTCCGGCGCTCGGCATTAAGGGGCTAAAACAAGGACTGGTCGGCTCGGAGTCAGTATACTGTGTCTGAGTGGGGTATTCATGTTAAACTGCGGCATGGTATCTCAGTGAGCTAGCACTATAAATCGGCTTCAGTCCGGACTGGTGTACAACCAGATACACGTGCATGCACGTCGCTATATAAGTGCAATAATCTTGGACGCGACGTTAAACCCCATTTCACCTCACCTCACCACATATATATGGTCATGTCTCTCAAGCATATGAGTAATGATCGGAGAGTTCCATTTTGATAACTCTTGGGTTAGGGTTGGAATATTTTGAAACTTTGAAATGACCATGTCCTCTATACTGGAAAACAAGTCAGATTATAACAGTGCAGTTCCCAACCCTACTTTAAAGATTCAATGGGGAGGGACATGGTCGTCCCTGCACCAAATTAAGACTGCAATTTGATTTTTAAAAAAGAGTGAATGAATTATTCACTATTTTTTTATTGGGAATTAACTTGGATATACTTTTAGAGATCATTATTCGATTTCCCTGCCCCTCTCTCCTCCGCCTTAGTTTCACAGACGTTTGCATTCCGAGAGGTCTGTGTTGGGAAACTGGCCAAAGTCTTTGAATCTCAGACTGCTCAATGCAATGTGCAATATGAAAATACCGACTTAAGTACGTGTCATCTGCTTTGATCGTCAGACCTAAAAAATTCCTGGTATGTCTCCACTCCACTTGATACCATTCAAAAGAAGTTAAGAACATCCCTTTTCATATTATAGTAATTAATCAGTGGTCCTTATATTCTTTGAGTAGTATACGTTCAGAGCATCTCTTACAATGCAGATACACTTGAATCCCGGTCGTGTATAATGCCCCGGAATTCACTGTGTGGGACTGCATTCCTAGGGAAACATATCCTCATGGGTTTGTTTGTTTGTTTGTATGTTTGTTTGTTTGTTTAACGCCGCACTCAGCAAAAATCCAGCTGTAGGACGGCGGTCTGTAAATAATCGAGTCTGGGCCAGACAATCCAGTGATTGACATCATGCGCATCAAGCTACGCAGTTGGGATACGATGAGATGCATCAGCCAAGTCAGCGGGTCTGACCACCCGCTCTGTTAGTGCAAGCATGGTTTGCTGAAGACCTATTGTGCCCCGGATCTTCACTGTCTCGAATGCCCTAATCCCCGATTATATGTCTAGGTTTGTCAGCACCGTACATCTCCTCGAAGGTTTCACAAGAAAGGCGAACGCCCAAGACCAGCATCATTTCGGGCTGTCCTCACAATCAGGCTGACACGCCGTCATAACCGAAATAATGTTCACAGTCGCTATAATCCCACTCTCAGTCGTACCATGCATAGGTTGTCCAAGGCAACAGAGCGGGTTATGACGCAGATGAGTCGTGAAGACATCATGCTGTTCAGAAGAGAGCAAAAAAAATGTTATTATTATTTATATTACTATTATTTGATGGTCTCTGTGGTCAGGATGCTAGGGTGACACGCAACGAAAACCTGAAAGTCTCTAAGAGTTACCTCCCATGATCAAAACATTGACCAGGACAGCTTGGCACCACCATCTGGTAAGGCCTCTCGTACGCCAGTACACTGATTTACAACTTCCGGGAAAGAATGTTACAACAAAAAAACGGCAGTTGCATGTTTAGTTCCGAGTAAACGATGATAATATTCAATGTTCTTTTATAATAATAAAGTTAAGAAAACATTAAGCCATTTCCGATGTATTTCTTTAGATCATCTATGTTAAAGTCATTGCGGTAAATTGTTAATATTCATTTTTTATATATTTTGTTGGGATTGGGGGAGGGGGGAGGAGGAGGGTGGGGGGGGGGGGGGGGGGGGGGGTGTCATTCCCGGATGTCACCTTTCTGATGAGGAGTGTAAAAATATATAAAGTAGCGGGACTGATGGCAGTTATGTGTCGGGTCCAGTTTTATTCTAACAATAGGGGATCAATTATTTTACAGTGACACTTGGTTTAATTAACTCAAACAAAGAATTGGTGGAGAAACGGAAAGATGTAGGCCTAATTGTAATAGATTTATGGGTGTGACACAAACTAAACACAAAATACAGTGTAATGACACTGAAGTGATATAAAAAATCATTCACGCTTTTAAGTTATCATTTAACATGCAAAATATACGATGTCAAACTTAAGGGAATACATTTATATGCTCTCTATATACTCCATATGTACTCCTAATGCCTATGCCTATGCCTACTTCAGGGAATGAGGGGCTCAATCAGCATTCTGCATCACGCTGATTTCACCCCTGGCTGGTCTCTCCTGGTAGTTGACAAAGCTTTCTTTAAAGATCCTGATATTTCTTCATAGTTTTCTTTTCTCTTTTCTTTTGGTGGTGGGGGAGTGTGTGTGTGTGTTGGGGGGGGGGGGGGGGGGGGGGGGGCGGCGCTGACCTGCTGAGTACTGCACCAGTCGTATCTAGGAGATCAGGAACTTGATCATTACGAGGAGGTTAGGATGAGCCTTCCCGATGATCTTCTTAAGGCGCCCGTGCCATCCTCCGGAGAGGTTGTTGATGCGTGGCACAGACTGGTCTCGAACTGGTCTCCCTCTATCCAGAGCGAGCGGTAGTCACGCAGTCGGCCAGCTGCAGACATCTTGGATATTGGGGCATGTCGGCGATGCCTGGAGCCACGTACACTTTGTAACAAGGGCGATCATTATGAGAAAAACTGTACACGTGGTCATTATTGAATCATTTGAATCAGCTGATAAAATTTACATTATTTACGATTACATTATTTGCATAACATACTTACATAAACCAAAGGTATCACCGGCAGAACAACACACTATCCGACAAATCAAGCCTGCCGTTCTGGGTCTTCCTCCACCGTCGTCAAACAATATGAATTGGTCCCCGGACTCTTGTCTTGGAATGGAGGGGATGACAATATCTCGTCCGCGGGATCGCATTCGAGGGAAAATTGTTCGTCTGGCTTTACAAAGCTGACTCTTCACTGAATGAAACGTTGGCATGGTTCGACAAAACTTCGATTCATCTGTCCATGCGCTATCTCTCGTAGTAGACACTTCTTCTTTAAGTGAGTGAGTATGTTTTTTAGCCGCTTTTAGCAATATTATAGCAAGATCAGAAATGGCTCCACACATTGTATCCATGTCGGGATTCGAACCCGGGTCTGGGGCGTAACGAGCGAATGCTTTAACCACTAGGCTACCCGACCGCCCCTTTAAAAAGGGATGGATAGGTTTTAATGTCGACTTGGCCTTCAGCTTCAAACGGTCTGAGGTCTGACGTATCTAAGTATTATTTTAATGCAGTTAGTTGCACACCACTAAATATCATAATTACATAATGCTATTACCTTTTAAGTATTTATTTTTTGTTAAAAATAATTTACCCGTATGTATGAAAAAGGTCATAAGGCCACACTTACTTGATGTCATATTGGACATGATGATGATGATTGTGTTTGTATTGTCTTGTAGAAAGTTCAAACAGTCGACATTGTGGCACCACTGTCTTAGGTTACACATTTCCAGGATAACCGTTCTTCAGTGTTTCGTCCTGTGAATGAAATCACCCGTACACAAACATCTCCCGCCACTGGAAGTAGGAAGGAAATTGAGGCAAGTTGTGCATTCGCCATTTCAAAATCAAAGCGATTACTGCAGTGCAGAGTTGCGCCCCCTGGACACGCCAGAAACCTATGATTGTTGGTACGAGTCCCGGTTCGCCCCGATTATGTTTCTAGGTTTGTCAGCACCATACCCGTGCTCGTGGGTTTAAACGAAGTGGTATACGTCTGAGACCTGCGTCACTTCGGGCTTTCCTCCCACATTTAGCTGACACGCCGTGAAATAACTGGAATACTGTTAAAAGCGGCGTTAAACCCAACTCACTCACTAAGATCGCTTTGGTATATACACAGTTTTAGAACGCTAACATTACGTAAGATACAGCTCCCTACTGTTTGACATTATGTGAGTTCAAATAAGTTCAAATTTCTTGACCCACCGCGTTTTAATCCCTTGAAACAACACAGCAAAAGAACATACCACATCAAAGAATTTTCACAGGGGTGTCTTCCCAGGAAAGGCCCGTTAGGGCACGGATGGGTAAGTCGTTTAAGGCGTCACGAGTTGCGCCCCTTAGACGTACCAGAATCGTATGACCGTTTGTTCGAATCCCATCAGTTTCATCACAGTTGTAACCGTCTAAGGCTTCAACCCCTGTGGATTTTCCATCCAGTTAGGCTGGCACTCCCTGATTTAACTGAAATACAGTCAAAAGCTATTTGAACCGCACATCTCACTCATTGGATGCGTGGATATCCATCGCATTCTGTTAGTGATTCAATGCATATATTTATGACAGTTTTATTATCTTTCGTGCATTCGTGTAAATTTTCTTGCAACTGAGGATAAAATCGGGTTAATTCATATAGCGGTTTATCATTTGCCTTATGCATTGTGTACAGCCGTATACAAATGTAAATACTCCTGCCTTTGCATATATACAGCATTAAACATGTCTGTGCCATAGTTGTGTTATACGCTTGTTGCATTTATATTGCATTTGCGAATATTCTTTGCATTTCTCTACAATGCGTACCAAATGCATACCTTGTCACTAAATGTGAAGGGAATGTTAATTCCGTAGAATGGGAAGATAAGGACTTTTCGTATACGAATTCATTCATGTGTTTACTGTATACCGTTTGGTACAGTTTATGTGTACATTGGGCAGGCTTGGAACAAAAAAACGCAAAGCACACTCGTGTTTTGCGATCGTCTTTATTGTCCGTGGAAAACAGGATTTACATAAAATTATGCTTTCATAGCGCATGACCACTTACGCACTGTTTATTTGAACGTTACACCCAATCCCGTTTGAAAGCGCTCACACCCAGTTTATATAAATACGTTTTCTTACGTGAACATATCATCTTTGCTTGTAGTTGGAGTGAGTGAGTAACGATTTACGCCGTTTTAGCAATATTCCAGCATCATCTCGGCGGGGGACACTAGAAATACTCACAGTTAAAACTCGCCCAAAGAGATTGCCAAATGCTATGTTCACGTACCTGATGCAGTTATAAAAGAACGTCCAATCACATGAACACTTCCGTTAAATGTAATTAAAATTAAGTATTACTGGAATACTAGTAGACATAAAATAGTCTTTCTTTCTTTATCCCTTTTTTGTGTGCATTACACTTACCTTCCAAGAGTTGGTTTCGTCAGCATATATGCCACTTCCTTTATGTCTTTTGAAGGGTGGTTGTGACTTTGAATTTTAACTCACGACGGGTGGTGCCGGTACAAGCCAAGTAACGGTCCCATTCAGCTGATACCAGGTATCTCTGTTGTTGCTACTGGTACACAATATAAGTTTGAATTTCCATTGCACTGATTACGAGTTTAGGAATCATTTAGACTTGTAGGTTAGTGTTATATATTATATGGACCTTAATTGTCAAGGACAAAGATGTATGTTTTACTGGAGGTATATTCATAAATCCGTATATATAATAAATGTAATAAATGCTGTCTATAGTATAAAACTACCCTACTAAAATGAGTTTTATCTTGAAAGAGGTGTGTCTATCATGTAGTCAATTTGTGGTGACCCAAAATCTATGTTAGACATTGTAGCCAACAACAAAGTTAAGAATAAAGCATTCATTCTCACCCTGGTTATAATTAACCGGGTTACACTTATGACAGCCCCTTTTTACTGTGTACAGCGCTTTTTTCATTCAATGTGTATTTTTCGGGTAATGTAAAATAATTTTTAGTGGTTTAAAAACACAAAAAACTATGAGAGTTACCCCCCTTAGATGTAGAAACGTGCGGGAAACGAATCTCGGTGAGATCTTAATATTTACACGTATGGGATTAATAGAACAAACATTGCTTGTTTAGAAATTCAAGGTTACGAATGCAGACCTTGTTTCATCGTGCTGAGATAGTTGACGTATTCAGTCATGGACCTTAGTCATTTTACATCGACAAAATCTCCATGTCCATTTGATCTCGTTCGGAATTCGTCACTGCACTTCGCGTAACTGCGACTAGTTAAGTCTATATTTTACAGCGAATACCAGTCTACCATGAATACATCTTAATGTTCTTTAAGATGTTTTTTGTCCCACTGATTTTGTTTTTGCTTTCTGGACCGCCTTCATTAATTTTGATGGTGTTGGCGTACCGTGTCGTGGATAGACAAGGTTCTCGTCGAATGCATTTGCCAACAGGCTCTCCGCTGATACATCTACAGAGGAGTTTCATCCTTTGACGAGAACCTCGTCTATGTAGTGAATAAAACGTCTGCCCGGAGAGCGGAAAGTCAGTGGTTCGATCCCCTGGGGGGCGGTCGGGTAGCCTAGTGGTTAAAGCGTTCGGGTACAGTGTTTGAAGCCCATTTCTGGTGTCCCCCGCCGTGATATTGCTGGAATATTGCTAAAAGCGGCGTAAAACCATACTCACTCACTCACTCGATCCCCCCCCCCCCCCGGCAGCGTCATATTTAAAAACGTTAGCAGATGGTACATGTTAAATTGATCATTACACAACATGCCAGTCGTCAGTAAGTGAGTAAAACAAGAACTGATCTACTCAAGGTCAGTTTGGTTTGTGTAAGTGGGATATCTATTTTAAACTGTGCCATTATATCTTCATGGGCTAGCATTATAAAATCCGCATTAGTCTGGACAAGTGGCCTACCAGCATGCAGCCGTCACTATATAAGAGCAATATCTGGAACGAGATGATAAACCCCATTTAAACTGTCCTGACTTGATCTCAATGAGTGTGGATTTATCAAGTTCTGGAAAACCACAGGTCACTCAACTAATGTCAAAATGTCAAGATTTAAGGGGTCCCTAGATCATGTGTAGATTCAAAAACCTCAAGGACCCTACAGCACCCCCTTCATTTCGAACGAGGGGAGTTTTGGGAAATGTTAGTCTTCTTCATATTTCTTATTCGATTACTTTGTATTCCAGATGTCATCCAGTAGTATATTCAGCCGTGTTCCAGTCATTGATGTGCACCAGGAAAACTTCCAGGAAGTATGGCCGTCACTGGTTCTCGCCATCAAGTCCGCAACATTTATTGGGATGGACTTGGTATGTTTTTCGTGCAGGTTAAAACATGACAATAGTGTTGAATATCAATAAAAGACGATACACATATTCATAAGTCGGACATAATATAACACCAAACTACTAAACAGTGTCTTCTGACTTTGTTTACAAATGTCCTCAAACTACAGGCCTTTGATCTTATTTTGAACATGTTGAAGTGTAATTTGTGTTGGATCTTGATCATACCCTTTTTAAAAGTGTTTGAAATAATTTTAAAACCCAACAAGCCAACTGGGCAGGTGATCCATAAATGTTGCTTGCCCATATTCAGAGTTACTTGTGCGCATTCAGACATTATTAATATTGAAAAATCATGAAAAATGAGACATATTGCATCTGGTTTCAGTTGAAATTATGCAAAACAATCACTTTAGAAACTTTACCAGGAGTTTTGATAAAACTGAATAAGTAAATAGTATCAAACTTATCTGCCAGACAGTCGGGCAGGTGAAAGAAAATTTAATGCAGCCCTACAGAAAAGTTACAAGCCACAGGCAGGCTGGCAGGAAGTTATTTTGGACTCTGCCCTTTGAGAGAATATGGCTCCTTAAAATGAGTTGAGTGTTCAAGTACCATGTGTTGTATCAAAAAGTGTATCCTTGCCATGCATACTATGTGTACTAATGAGAATGATGAAAACATGGTCAGAGTAATCTGTGACAGGCCCGTGAAGATACGAGGTAGAATAGGTCTTCAGCAACCAATGCTTGCCGTAAAAGGCAACTATATTTATCAGGTGACTAACAGGATCGGGTGGTCAGACTCACTGATTTCGTTGATGCATTTCAATCTTATCTCTATTGTGTGGATCGATGCTCATAATGTCTCACTGGATTGTCTGGTCAAGACTTGATTATTTACAGACCGCCGTCATATGGCTGGAATATTGCTGAGTGCGGCGTTAAACAACAAACAAACAAATCATGTCTTATTCGTACAAAGTAAATAATTTCAATTATTAGAAAAAACAATATTAACAGTTGGTGCCATTTGAAGTTATCTCCCCTGATTGATATATTTTAGTTTACATTGTAAATGATTTGAGTGTGATTAATTGGGTGTGCTTATACAGGACACTGTTAACATTTGGTATAGATATGGTGACTGAAGCATTCAGTTGTCCATAAGCATTCAAAATGGAAGGCACATACCAAGATGGGGCTTTGATACCATGTACATGATGTAGTAATGTCTCACTGGATTGTCTGGTCCAGACTCGATTATTTACAGACTGCCATCATATAGCTGGAATATTGCTGTGTGCGACGTTAAACAACAAACAAACAAACAGAACTTTGGAATCATAGTAGTAGCAGCTTTACAACATTAAGGTAATGACTTACATCTAGACCTAGACCATGTGTAGACCTCCTAGGTCAAGTGGATAGAGTGTCTACTCTGAGAGCGGCAGGTCGGTGGTTCAATCCCCAGATGACTCATACCAAAAGACCTGAAAAGAAGGTTCCTGTTGTTACCCTGCCTGGTTTTCGGCATTAAAGGGATGAAACAAGTCTGTATAATGTGTCTGATATCTATATTAAACTGCCGCCTGGTATCTCATTTCGCTACCTCTATAACACCTTCAGAAGTCCAGACTTGTACAACTATAAGCATCTACACACACTCAAACATCTTGAACACGACCTTCAACCCCATTTCACCTCACCACAGGGCACGGGTGGCCCAGTTGTCTAAGGCGCAAATCGGTGTGCAGAGTTGCGTCCCTTGGGCAGAAACCTATGGTTGTGGGTTTGAATCCCGGTTCGTCCCGATTATGTTTCTTGGTATGTCAGCACCATACCCGTGCTCGTTGGTTTCACCGAAGTGGTAAACGTCTGAGACCTGCATCAATTCGGGCTTTCCTCCCACATTAAGCTGACACGCCGTGATATAACTGGAATACTGTTAAAAGCGGTGCTAAACCCAACTCACTCACTCACCTCACCACAACTTCATAACTATGTGTGTAAGCAAGTTTCCAAGAATTGTGAGATCATGCAGTTTTATTTTGTTATTCACACAGAAGTTACATGTACAACTCAAAATCAAATGGTATTGTATGTAAGAAACAGAAGAAGTCTGCCTGACGTTATTTGGATAGACAAGCATCATAAGCTATGATTGCTTGTTACGTATTGTTTCTGGATTTGTCACGAGTTCCAAGATTGTGGAATATCTCCAGTGAAAACCCATCTGTATTCTGATATTCTAAGAAAAATAATTTAAGGTAGTTTTTAGGCCGGTGTAGTTTCCTGTATTGTAACATGAAATTTAAGATGTTGGATAGTTTGTTTCCATGGTTACTTCAGTTAAACTTTTCAATTTCAGGAGCTGAGTGGTCTAGGAAACAGAAAAGCATTGAATTTCAGGTAACTGTCTTATGCTGAGCTCACAAGTACTTCTGGTTCACGATTCAGTTGATGTTAATATTGTTATGATGTCACCCTGTAACTGCCTTCTGTCTTAATCATGTTAACAGACCAGTGGGGACTCTAGATTAGAACAGGACCCTATCAATCCATGCTGTTTGTAAGAGGCAACAGAGCGGATCAGGTGGTCAGACTCGGTGACTTGGTTGATTGCGTGTCATCGTACCCCGATGTTCATTTCTCATCGTATCAATCACTTGATTGTGTGCTCCAGACTTAATTCTTTACAGGCTGCTGTGATGTAGCTGGAATATTGCTGAGTGTGGCATGACACAGCAAACAAGATGTCTCCCGTGAGATCCTACCCGGATACCCGCTATAGGTCTCAAGAGTTTGGTACAAAATGCCCTGGCAAAAGCTATTTAGTTACATGTATAAAACGATCTGATCATGCATACACTGCAGTTGATAGACGCTTTAACCTTACTCGAACATATAAAAGTCAGAACGAATGCTTGCATAGTGAGAAAGAAATGTGAACATTAGCTATGATTGTAGTGCATCCATTGAGTTTTACTGTTAATGTCATTACAGTATATCATATGACTAACCACGAATCCGGGTTGTCATGTGGGTACCCGGGTCCTACTCAGGACCCACCCGACCCGAGTTACCCATCCCAGCCCTAGTAGTTAGTCGTGGGGCTCAACATACATATTCTGGGTTTATTTTTGCGATATTATATTTTGACCTGGCAATTTTACCACACTGAAAAGCTACAAAAGCTCAGACATCTTTTAACCAATGAAGTTTTGTGAATGTGTAAAACTAGCAGTAGGACTCAACATTTATGTTCCATTTGTTTGTGATTTGATCTTAAATTTTCCCAAACACATACGGTAATGGCCTGTAAACTTTTTCTCCTCTGAAATTGACAGACTGAGGAAGCGGGACTTTATCATATATGTTTCTCCCTATGATGACTCCATATTTTGTTCATGTCGTTAGATTTCAGTGTTAGTCATTTTTCCTCAGTATTTATGCAGAAAATATATGTGTTTGCTCTTTAAAAGTTTTATGCCTCTAAAATAGCAGTATTCATTACAGCAGCTTTCATACTTCTGGAGGCAGAAAAGTCTCTGTCCTTGATATTCATTTGTTTTCAAATGATATTTTTTTAATGTGAAGTTTACACGATATACGGCTTTTCCATAGGACGAGAGGTCGGTCACATGACCAGGAAATTGTCTTTCATACACTATGAACGACACAATTTGATGTTCATACGTTTTTCACGAGACCTTTTTCTTGAAACGAAGTAAACACTCACAGACTGCTTCCACATTTCTGGGGAAACTCCTGGCAATTCCCTAGCAGAAGTACAGAAGTGTTCTTTCTGAACATTTAGACCCTTTAATCTTGAACTCAGCGTTTCAGTATACATTGAGAAACGTCAGAGTGTTTGACTGCATGATTGTTCACAAATATTCTCTCTACGACCCATCCTAATGAGCAAAACAAAGAAATGCACTTCCAAACTATCATAGTATTGCCTCGATCCGTGTCAAGGCTGACAGTAACAGCCTATATCATTCTGTGCATTTGTGTCTGTTTGACACATCTTTAATCACCTTTCAATGATCGGCCAGTTGACCAATGACTAAGACTTCCGAAATCTCTCCCGTCACGTTTATCATGTTGGACATTTTGACGTCTTGTAATTGATGTAAAAATATTACGATGCGCCACTGTGACTGACTTACTGTGGTAGTTCTTAACAGACCTTTCTCATCTAATGAGGATCTAATGAGGATATTATTTGAGTACATCTGTTTACAGAAACTACAAAAGTTGTCCCTGTTGAGCATACATGGCTCATGTCACCTCTCGTTTTGAGTAACTATTTTATTCCGCGATACAGCTGGTTCTTGTATGGACGTAAGTGTAAACATGAAGTCACACATACTAAATATAATTGTTTATAGATCAAGGTCTTCATCCTTTGAGGTAAAAATAGTGATATAAATTATAAGAATTGACTTTCACTTTGTGTGAGTTCATTGGAGTATGAACCATCATAGAGTGAGGATCAAACATTGTTTGTCCCTTACTCTTTGAAGGTTCATACTCCAATGAACTCACACACAGTGAAAGTCAATTCTCAATTGACATTTTGCACATTCAGCTTTCTTATATTTCATCAACAAAGGTTTTTTTACTGATTTTTAATGATTTACTGTCGGCTCACATGTGAGCAGCTTACCTTGCTTATAGCTTGCGTATAAATATATTAAAAATAAGTAAAAAAATATAAAAATTATAAGGATTGTCAATTGACATTTTGCACATTCAGCTTTTCTTCTTTTTCATCAACAAAATGAGCAGCTTACCTTGCGTATAGCTTGTTCCTTCTTCTAAGAGGGGCCAATCCTTGAAACAACAAAACTGTAAAAATGTTTTTCTTGCCAGGGCAATGGATGACCGGTACAGAGCAATGGCAGATGTTGCCAGGTCAAGGTCAGTTCTCTCACTTGGTCTCTCCTGCTTCAAGTGCACCGACATCCGGACAGCAGAGGTCAAGGTCAAGGACACAGAACCCACCTCTCCATCTAAGGCCAAGAATGACTGGAAGTACTTGGTGCAGACATTCAACATTCTTGTGCTGTGTGAGGAGGACTTTATAGTGGAGCCCATCACACTCAAGTTCCTGGTTGACCATGGATTTGACTTCAACAAACAATATTCTAAAGGAATTTCATATTATAGAGGAAACGATAAGGTAATAAGTGTTCGATCGTGTTACTGTTGATTTTTTACTTATCCTGCATATCAAACATAGAATGTACGAGATACAAACCGTAGGCACAACACAAAGACAATAAACATTAACTCAAAGAGCAAACACATAAGGGTTTGAATCAGTTTATGCTACAGCAAAAAAACAGGTCTTCACTCATCAAGTGACAAGAGTAATGTGAGGATCCGTGACGTCACTTCCTTTGGTCACGTGGGAGCTGCATGATAGGGTTGGCCTCTCAGCTAGTTGGAACAACTTCTTCAAACAAAGACCTCTCACGCAGCTCTTTTCTCTGTCAAGAACAAGCAAGTAATATGCATTAAGGAGTAATGCAGGATAAGTGTACAAATATAAAAAATATCTACGATTTTACTAGGTTTAATACTTAACGATGGCTATTTTGTGATGGATGTTATATCACTGTACCGTTACACACAGGGTTGGGGAAGCAGCCTGTCATTGTGAGTTCGAATCCTGATTCGTCCCGATTATTTTTTAGGGATCATCAGCATCAGATCTTTGGTCATGGGTTTCTCCCAAATGGTAATTGTCCAAGATCTGCATCACTTCAGGCTTTCCAACCCATCAAGCTGACACACCACGATAAAACTGAAATACTAGTACCTTTCAAACCAAACTCACCAACTCACCTACGCGACCTACGCATGCTGTCAACCACAGTCTGAACTCTGTTACATATAGGTGGCTGTGATACTGAGATAATACTAACTGTGGGATTAAACAGCATTCAGTCACTGTGCCAATAATTTATGAAGTAATTACAAAAATGAATGAAAGGAATTTTACATTTTTGTTCCAACACATGAAAAGATAAAAATGGAAACAAGAAGGATGTACTATTTGTATACATAGATAGCTTCCTATTTCTTATGTTTGACATGCTTATAGAAAGTTCTTGGTGCAAAATGAAGAAATGAGACCACCTTGATATTTTTAGAAAAAAATAAGTTTAAGTTTGTCACTGTATACATGGTATAACACAAAAAAAATTCAGGTTCCATTGGCTTAAGCAGGAAACAAAACTGTGATTGCCATCATTGAGTTTGTCAGCTTTACCCTCCTTAAACTGTAGTCATTCAGGAGTTACCTCCCATACATCGTCTTGTTGCTGCATAACCTGTTATAACCTAAACACAAAGATTCAGCTTCGTGATATTTTGATCTGTTTCAGACAACGGACTCTGACTCTAAATCTCTGCGACAGCTCATCAACATCCTGGTACTGAACAAGGCTCCGGTCGTCTTCCACAATGCTCTGATGGACTTGGTGTTCCTGTACCAGAGCTTCTATGCCTCGCTGCCTTCATCAGTGGCGGCATTCGTCACAGACCTGACTGAAGTGTTCGAGGGAGGAGTGTTCGACACCAAGTACATCACAGAATACATGGAGAGACTCCCAGCATCCTACCTTGAGTATGCCTTCAGACGATGGTAAGAGACAAGTTTGTCTTAATGCCTCTTGTAGCCGTTGCTCGATTGCATTATAATGTGTGACAGAATGCATGGAGAGACTGCCAGCGTCATACTTGGAGTATGCCTTCAGACGATGGTAAGAGACAAGTATGTCTTAATGCCTCTTGTAGCCATTGCTCGATTGCATTATAATGTGTGACAGAATGCATGGAGAGACTGCCAGCGTCATACCTGGAGTATGCCTTCAGACGATGGTAAGAGACAAGTTTGTCTTAATGCCTCTTGTAGCCATTGCTCGATTGCATTATAATGTGTGACAGAATACATGTAGAGACTGCAAGCATTGTACCTAGAGTATACCTTCAGACGATGGTAAGAGACAAGTTTGTCTTAATGCCTCTTGTACATGTTGTAGCCGTTGCTCGATTACATTATAATGTGTGGGGGCGGTCGGGTAGCCTAGTGGTTAAAGCGTTCGCTCGTCATGCCGAAGACCCGGGTTAGATTCCCGACATGGGTACAATGTGTGAAGCCCATTTCTGGTGTCCCCCGCCGTGATATTGCTGGAATATTGCTAAAAGCGGCGTAAAACCATACACACTCACTCACTCATTATAATGTGTGACAGAATGCATGGAGAGACTGCCAGCATTGTACCTGCAGTATGCCTTCAGATGATGCCTCTCGTAGCCATTGTTCGATTACAACATTATGCCCACATATGGATTTCAGATCAGAATTGGTCCCCAGCAACCTCTATGCTTGTTGAAAGAGTCCACTCAGTGGATCCGGTGGTCAGGCTGGGTGTATGTCATAGTACCCTGAAGGCTTAGTTTCTCATAATGTCAATCACTGGATTATCTAGTCCAGGGTTGATTATTGGTGCCATCCTCCCTCCAAGGAAACGAGTGTATCGTGAGATAGACAATTGTTATGGTCGACTCAAGGAGCAGATTGGCCAGGGACTGAAATCCCGACTTAACTGCTTGAATAATAATGGAAACTTGTTACGTTAAATTAAGTGATCCTGTGAAATCAGTGCTTACACTTGCTAGATGACATGATGTGGACATGTCTACAGTTAGAATGATTTCATTTTCCTGACTAATGTCTGCAAAGTGGGATGTTTTGGGTGATTTCAGTAAAGAGGTAGGCAGGTAGTAAATGGCAGTGCATCCAACCTTGTTTGCTTATGCTTTCTGCAAACTGGGGTATCTAGAAAATGGAGAGTCACGGAGTATTTACAGGCGTCTTTCATTCGAATATTGCTGAATTTGGCAATAAACAGCCAAACAAAAACATCATCAGGCTCTTTCGGAACTAAAAGATCAAATAGCATTTATTTACTCATTGAGTGAGTGAGTGAGTTGGGTTTAACGCCGCTTTTAACAGTATTCCAGTTATATCGCTACGTGTCAGCTTAATGTGTGAGGAAAGCCCGAGGTGATGCAGGTCTCAGACATTTACCACTTCGGTGAAACCCACGAGCACGGGTATGGTGCTGACAAACTATTTACTAAAAGAAACATGATGACACATGTATAGCTTCCATCAATCAGAGTCACTGTTGAGAGCTCACACATTTTAATGAGACTTTGCATGGATAAGCCGATGATAATGTGGACTCAAGACACAAGGGTATATAAGGAAACAAATTTATTGACGTCCACTTCTTTACACAACGTAAGTGTTGGCCGCTACTCTATTAGTCTTGTGCCCCAGGTAACACACATACAACATCAAACTATGTTCTTCTGGAAATATACTCAACAACAAAAGTTCCTGTGACACCAATATTTTAGTGTATCTTTCAAACAAGTAAAGTTTGGTTTTCAATATTGTAGTACAAATATGGAATCAAGTCACAAAAACGCAACTGCTACAGAAAAGCATGCATTCCATGCAAAAGTTGACTTTTATGCAAGCCCCATGCTTTTCACTACCCAAGAATGGGTATAAAAACATGTGCGTTAACGGGATTCTATATGCATTGTTTAGCATCGTGCTGACAACAACCATTCAGAAAAACAACAAAATTATGCAATTATTCAACATTACGAAATGCCACACCTGTCCGAAAATCAGCGTCTGCGAGCCATTGGTATGCTTGAAGCAGGATCGAGTTAACGTGATGTTGCAAGACCATTTGGTGTTTATGGCAACGTTGGCAACAGACGAATGCAGTCAGAGACCATCCTCAGTGTGGCAGGCCACACATAACCAATAATCGACAAGGCAACTGGATTCGAACAACACACCTACGAAATCGATTCCAGCCAGCAACAGTGACTGCAAGAAGCATCCCTGGCCTTCGACGAATATCTTCACAAACCGTGCGTCGTCACCTCAGATGGGCAGGGATTGTCACCAGAACACCCACCAGACGTCCCATTTTGACAGGAAACCACCGTCAAGCACGTCTACAGTGTGCAGACAGCGTCTATGCTGGAGTGCCCTGCAGGGGGGACAAGTTCTATTCACTGACGAATCTCTTTTTCACCTCAGCCACAGCGATGGACGGATTCGAGTGTACCGACGTCGAGGTGAACGTTACGTCAATCTTTCTGTCATGGAAGAAGATCTGTTCGGGGGCGGCATCGTTATGGTATGGGGTGTGATTACAGTAATACAGAGGACCCGTTTGATAGTGGTAGAGGGAAATCTCAATACACAGCGCTACCGCAACGAGATCATCGGCCCTCTTGTTCTACCGTTTTTGCGTCGTCATGGCCTTTGGACTTTGTGCGACGCCTGGTCCATTTTATGAGACGAAGATATGTTGCTTGCATTGCAACCAGAGGTCGACACACTCGCTTTTGATTTGTAAATTGGCATTTTGGCATGTTCATGTTTTTTTTATGAAATCACGCACTTTCTGAAGTCAGTATGGCAAATTAAACCATTTGAACACTTACAGGAATCTTTTATTGTTTCAGATTTGGTAAAAAACATAACTTTGCATTAAATCTTATTCAGTGTCACAGGAACTTTTGTTGTTCAGTATATTTATCACAAAATTAAGGTCATAGGTTGACAGACAATTGAAGGATTGGTTTTAGACATATGTTTTTACAATACTATTGCAAGAGCTCAAATGCCATGGAGTCACCCTACTGGCTAATGTGACAGCTGGAATCTGTGAGTGTCATAACATTTATGACTGTGGCAACCAATCAGTTTGAGATACATAAGACTGTAAGTGTTATAGCATGTATGACTGTGGTAGGTGTAATAAAGTGTATGACAAATTTATTATGCCGAAAAGTTTACACTTTTTCGTATCTATTTCGCACACACGTCATGTCAAAATGAGAACTTGACACTTACAAACGGTATTACGGACTCCGACAGGAACAGGGCATATGTTTCTCATACTTCACTTTTATGTAAACACAAACGTTAACAATTGAATATATAATGCACTAAATGTGAACTTTTAAACAGGTATTATTTATTTATAGCTGAAATGGATAGAATGATCACAAATATGCCCGCATGTTATCAGAAATCTGGAGGCCACTATAACTTGACAGCAATCCGCTTTTCCTTTACAACAGGCTGCTATCTTTTCTATTGTTTGTATATGTATATTATGTTCTATGACGTTGCTATTTGTAAAGGGGCGGTCGGGTAGCCTAGTGGTTAAAGCGTTCGCTCGTCACGCCGAAGACCCGGTTTCGATTCCCGACATGGGTACAATGTGTGAAGCCCATTTCTGGTGTCCCCCGCCGTGATATTGCTGGAATATTGCTAAAAGCGGCGTAAATCAGTGACCTCCATTGTGAGCCTTTTTTCTCTATAGTTTTTATTAATAAGGTCACGAATATGGTTTCCTTTCATATTAATGTCTTTGCACATCACAATTGATGATGTTAAAACACAAAACAGTGTCGAAAAACCCATTTCTGTACCAGAATGCTCAGGTGAAATATGTGAGGTGGGTGTTGGAAAATCCAAAATGGCTGTTACTGACGGTATACGGTCTCATATTAGGTCAGTAACAACCATCTTGGATTTTAACTGAAAGTACACAGGCTCATATTGGGTTAGTAGTTCTGCTCTCTGAATGGTCAGTCTCACTTTGAGGCGTAACAATAACATGTATGACTGTGGTAGGTGTAATAACATGTCAGACTGTGGTAGGTGTAATAACATGTATGACTGTGGTAGGTGTAATAACATGTCTGACAGAGGAAAGTGTAATGATATATATGACTGTGGTAGGTGTAATAACATGTCTGACTGTGGTAGGTGTAATATAATGTATGATTGTGTTAGGAGTAATAACATGTATGACTGGTAGGTGTAATCATTACATGTATGACTGTTGTAGGTGTAATGACATGTATAACTGTGGTAGGTGTAATAACATGTATGACTGTGGTAGGTGTAATAACCTGTATGACTGTGGTAGTTGTAATAACATGTCTGACAGAGGAAAGTGTAATGTTATATATGACTGTGGTAGGTGTAATAACATGTCTGACTGTGGTAGGTGTAATATAATGTATGATTGTGTTAGGTGTAATAACATGTATGACTGTGGTAGGTGTAATAACCTGTATGACTGTGGTAGTTGTAATAACATGTATGACTGTGGTAGGTGTAATCATTACATGTAAGACTATGGTAGGTGTAATGACATGTATGACTGTGGTAGTTGTAATAACATGTATGACTGTGGTAGGTGAAATAACATGTAGGATTGTGGAAGGTGTAATAACATGTATGACTGTGGTAGGTGTAATAACATGTAGGATTGTGGAAAGTGTAATAACATGTATAACTGTGGTAGGTGTAATAACATGTAAGACTATGGTAGGTGTAATAACATGTATGACTGTGGTAGGTGTAATGACATGTAGGATTGTGGTAGGTGTGATAACATGTAGGATTGTGGTAGGTGTAATAACATGTATGACTGTGGTAGGTGTAATGACATGTAGGATTGTGGTAGGTGTGATAACATGTAGGATTGTGGAAGGTGTAATAACATGTATGACTGTGGTAGGTGTAATAACATGTATGACTGTGGTAGGTGTAATAACATGTATGACTGTGGTAGGTGTAATGACATGTAGGATTGTGGTAGGTGTGATAACATGTAGGATTGTGGAAGGTGTAATAACATGTAAGACTATGGTAGGTGTAATGACATGTAGGATTGTGGAAGGTGTAATGACATGTAGGATTGTGGAAGGTAACAACATGTAAGACTATGGTAGGTGTAATGACATGTAGGATTGTGGTAGGTGTAATAACATGTATGACTGTGGTAGGTGTAATAACATGTAAGACTATGGTAGGTGTAATGACATGTAGGATTGTGGTAGGTGTAATAACATGTATGACTGTGGTAGGTGTAATAACATGTATGACTGTGGTAGGTGTAATGACATGTAGGATTGTGGTTGGTGTAATAACATGTAAGACTATGGTAGGTGTAATGACATGTATGACTGTGGTAGGTGTAATGACATGTAGGATTGTGGTAGGTGTAATGACATGTAGGACTGTTGTAGGTGTAATGGCATGAAGGATTGTGGTAGGTGAAATAACATGTATGACCGTGGTAGGTGTAATAACATGTAGGATTGTGGAAGGTGTAATAACATGTATGACTGTGGTAGGTGTAATGACATGTAGGATTGTGGAAGGTGTAATAACATGTATGACTGTGGTAGGTGTGATAACATGTATGACTGTGGTAGGTGTAATAACATGTATGACTGTGGTAGGTGTAATGACATGTAGGATTGTGGTAGGTGTAATAACATGTAGGATTGTGGAAGGTGTAATAACATGTATGACTGTGGTAGGTGTAATGACATGTAGGATTGTGGAAGGTGTAATAACATGTATGACTGTGGTAGGTGTAATAACATGTATGACTGTGGTAGGTGTAATGACATGTAGGATTGTGGTAGGTGTAATAACATGTAGGATTGTGGAAGGTGTAATAACATGTATAACTGTGGTAGGTGTAATGACATGTAGGATTGTGGTAGGTGTTATGACATGTATGACTGTGGTAGGTGTAATGACATGTAGGATTGTGGAAGGTGTAATAACATGTATGACTGTGGTAGGTGTAATAACATGTATAACTGTGGTAGGTGTAATGACATGTAGGATTGTGGAAGGTGTAATAACATGTATGACTGTGGTAGGTGTAATAACATGTAGGATTGTGGAAAGTGTAATAACATGTATAACTGTGGTAGGTGTAATAACATGTATAACTGTGGTAGGTGTACTAACATGTATGACTGTGGTAGGTGTAATAACCTGTATGACTGTGGTAGTTGTAATAACATGTATGACTGTGGTAGGTGAAATAACATGTAGGATTGTGGAAGGTGTAATAACATGTATGACTGTGGTAGGTGTAATAACATGTAGGATTGTTGAAAGTGTAATAACATGTATAACTGTGGTAGGTGTAATAACATGTAAGACTATGGTAGGTGTAATAACATGTATGACTGTGGTAGGTGTAATAACATGTAGGATTGTGGTAGGTGTAATAACATGTATGACTGTGGTAGGTGTAATAACATGTAGGATTGTGGAAGGTGTAATAACATGTAAGACTGTGGTAGGTGTAATGACATGTATGACTGTGGAAGGTGTAATAACATGTAAGACTGTGGTAGGTGTAATGACATGTAAGACTGTGGTAGGTGTAATGACATGTATGACTGTGGAAGGTGTAATAACATGTAAGACTGTGGTAGGTGTAATGACATGTAGGATTGTGGTAGGTGTTATGACATGTATGACTGTGGTAGGTGTAATAACATGTAGGATTGTGGTAGGTGTAATGACATGTATGACTGTGGTAGGTGTAATAACATGTAGGATTGTGGTAGGTGTAATAACATGTATGACTGTGGTAGGTGTAATGACATGTAGGATTGTGGTAGGTGTAATGACATGTAGGATTGTGGAAAGTGTAATGACATGTAGGATTGTGGTAGGTGTAATAACATGTATGACTGTGGTAGGTGTAATGACATGTAGGATTGTGGTAGGTGTAATGACATGTAGGATTGTGGAAAGTGTAATGACATGTAGGATTGTGGTAGGTGTAATAACATGTATGACTGTGGTAGGTGTAATGACATGTATGCCTCTGTTACATTTCAGCCAGAGGAAGAACAGCTTCTCGCTGCCTCATGAGAAGGATGTAGTGAGCCTTGAGTTCCTTGACTACCCCACCTCCTACACATACGTCCGCTACAGCCGCTGTGAGCTGCCGCATACGATGGTGGAGCGGGGAGATGATGCTGACAGCGACTACCTTCAGCGGACACTGTGTCATCAGTATGCTGTGAGTCTGTCAGATTCTCAACTTTAGTGGCTTCAAACTAAGACCTCTATTCAAGCTGTCATATTTGTCTGTGTGATGTATGCTTATGAATTTAAGCTCCTTTGATATGAATATGAATTATGGTAATAAGCATGATAGGATATTCATACTCGTACGTGGGATGCTTTGTTGGTTGTGTGACATGTAGTTTAGGGTGGAGAAATAGAACCAACTTATTATCAGGAAATGAAAATAAAACTTGCATACAGATGATGTCCTCATTTAGCACACCTGAGATATCCTCAGTCTATTCCACAGAATATTGTTCATTGTCTGTTCTTTCAGCTGAACAAACCCCATGAAGATCAGGGTTAAAATAGGTTTGCAGCAAGCCATGCTTGTCGCAAAGGCAACTATGCATGTCGTAAGAGTTAACCAACAGGATTGAGTGGTCAGACTCACTGACTTGGTTGATGCATTTCATTGCATTCCAATAGTGTAGATTGATGCTGATCACTGTCTGGTCCAGACTCGATTACTTAGAGACCGCTATCATATAGCTGGAATATTGAAAACCACACGCAAACAACAAGTTCAGCTCGCCAGGTCAGGAGAGCCAAAGGATCTAATCATGGGCCATCCTTCGTCTGTCTCTTGTGTTTCTGTTTGAACTTTTCAAATGACTGAAAGTATATTGAACATGGATAGAAAGAAAAAGAAAATTAAGTCAACATGATCAAATGTGAAAATATTGAGGGTGTACGATATTACTGGTATCGTTAAATTGAGGTTCATTCTTTCCAAGATACGTATCACAATATAATATTTTAATGCTAAGTATATCGGGTGATTTCAAATAAAGAGTTTTATCATGTGTTTAATGTTATACACTTGCCAAATACTCGGAGCGTGCGTGCGTATTTTTTGACTAAGTTAACATTATGTTGTACCAGCATCTTGTTTTGTTCCGTTTATGAACTTCAATTCATACACTTGTGCTTAAAATTGCTTCTGAATTCAAAATTTAGAATTATGCAGTATATCGTGATACATATCACAATACAGCCTTGTATTGTAAAACATTGTGATACACTTTAAACCTTCAATATCCATCCCAAGAAAATATCCTTCAGAAACTTATTCTGAGAAACAACAAGGTCTAGAAATCTGTAACATTGATATGGTTTGTATCAACAAAGTGGGACTCGGATTCATTATATCTTGGTCATATCGAAGCAGCAATTAAAAAAGTAACATGTATAATTGATGACTGGTCTTTTCATTAACACATTGTTTCAAGTAAAACCTATCTGTTTTCAGTCTTTCGGATGGTGCTCGCGCGGCAGTAGCTGCCCAAAGTCACATGACATAGATGACATCATTGACCTGGACGGTATAAAACCAGCAAGAAAGAGTCGGAAGAGAAAGCGTCGACGTAATAACCAACTGAACTCATCCAGCAATGAGGAAGAAAAAGCGGAGGAGACAGATGAAAGCACTGAAGACTCTTGTTCAAAGGATGAAGAAATGGAGTCTGATTCAACTGTGACCAAAAAAATGAGAGTCATCTCCCCTGTTTCTGAATCATATGAAACCCAAAACAAGGTCAAGTCACTTCCAGCTAAAACCGGTTCGGAGTCAGAGTCGGGTTTGAACAATCTGTCAAACAAGAGTGACCTTGGCATTGCTAGAAAGGAAGGTCATCGTGCAGGGTACGATGCCTTCATGACTGGGTACATCATGGCATATTATTTCACCAAGTATGGGAAATTACCTGCGGAAAAGAGGCGGAATGTGAAGCTGACTGACTTGAACGTTGAGGAGTTTAAGAATAAAGTTTATTTGTGTGGTAAAGACATTCCTTTGGTGATAACAAAAAGTTCTTTCACAAAATCTTCCAAGGACCATCGTGAAAAGATGCAGAAAATTAAAAGTTGATGGTTTTCATTAACATTAGTTACAGTATTGACACGATATTGCTGACATTATGTGCACTGACCTTTCAACAAGAAAAAAAGGCAGTTGGAGTATTTTTAAATGGAGACAACTCAGGGACACGGCACCATGGTGCAGTCTTTATTGGAGCCTATGGCTGGTAAATTGGTACAGCAATACAATGAGGATTCTGGGTGGGAATAGGCCCAAGGTGCCATGCTGGTATCAAGAGTCATCTAAAATGAAGATCTTTGAGTACAAATGTGCGACCTGGTGTGCTATTAGTTGCTGAAAACATAGACAACAAAGACTGATAACTCAAGATATTGATGGCTCATTAATATGTTTACTAATCATCGCGATCTGCAGTCAACAGTCATGTGTTGACCCAAAAGGTTTGTCGCATAAACAGAGGCCTGAATTAATGTGATTTTAGTAGTTGCATCCCTTGTTGTCATGATATATATACTTAATTTCAGAAGAAACATGATCTTAAGATCAGTTTTAAGAATAATTCTTTTTATATTGTTGTTTTGATTGGAAATGAAAGTAAATTTTAAAACTTACCCTATCGCAGACTATGCATTTCTCCTACTTCTTTTTAGTGGATTTGCCTACAATACCAGAAACCGGAAGTTGATCTGTTTGTGACTAGATGCAACAATCTACTAGCAAGAATCTTCCCCGCCCATCCCGGACCCCGGGGATGGAATTACGATGCACTAGCCATCTCTTAGGAAGGACTTTACTCGATAATGGGCCCTGATATTTTTTAAGATCATCTCTTATGACCTTAAGAATCTTCTTAAAGGCCTCTGAATACTTATGACATCCATGCAAACACTTATTCCTCCCAGTATCAGCAACTGCAGGCTCTGAAGTGTCCCATACTACAGCCTCCTGGTTGCGTTCAGTGATCTTATCTTATGGGGGCGGTCGGGTAGCCTAGTGGTTTAAGCGTTCACTCGTCACGCCGAAGACCCGGGTTCGATTCCCGACATGGGTACAATGTGTGAAGCCCATTTCTGGTGTCCCCCGCCATGATATTGCTGGAATATTGCTAAAAGCGGCGTAAAACCATACTCACTCACTCACTATTATCTTATGATTGTCACCTCTGGTTGCCTCCAACCCACATGAGACACGAGCGGTTCTATCTACTTTGGTGCTACATAACAAATGCTAGTTCCTTCTTCCATTGGGTGCCCAGACAAGTTCCAAAGAGGGAGGGTAGGCATATTTGTCTGTTTAGACTTTGGTCTATGTGTCATCATTATCATGGACATTATTGGCTATGATAGAAACTCTCCCCTTGTCCATATGTAATGAGATTTTGCCAATTATCAGAGAGATATTTCGCCTTCAAACTGTTGGAATTGTATTTGAATTTTGTTATTTCTGACTAAAATCATGATGCAATTATTGAATTAATGTTACCTGATTGTGAGTCATCTCATATCTGTTTTCGAACACTTACTTATTCCACCATGAATATTTAGAAATATGTGAATGTAATTGGATCATGAGCATTGTTACCTGAAAAGTAATACCATTTACATTAATATTTATGTATTTCTTCTTTGTTTGTTGACTTTTGGAGGAATTATTGGCGAGGACAATTACAGATTGTGTAGCACACGTGTCAGCTGTTCATTATGTTGGCATGGACAGTCAAAAGTCTGCCAGTATCAGATTTCAAAGTCTTCAACAATGTGAGTTTAGATTATATCTAAATCTTCAAAGTGATAAGACATGAAATAGCGACTGTTGCGGTCGATTACAGGATTTGCAAAGCATGTGTACTGCCAATGTGGCATCAGCAGATATTTTCCAAGTCTTCACATGTTTTTAATTAAGGTGCTCACGTGATTTCACCTGTTTTATCGCAATAAACCGGTACATCTTGATTATCGATCATATTGTCTTGACTGGGTGGGGCGGTCAGGTAGCCAAGTGGTTAAAGCATTTGCTCGTCACGCCAAAGACCAGGGTTTGATTCCGACATTGGTACCATGTATGAAGCCAATTTCTGGTGTCCCCACCATGATATTGCTGGAATATTGCTAAAAGCGGCATAAAACCATACTCACTCACTCACTCTTGAATGGGTGCCGCCATTTTATTTGAAGCAAACGCAAGTGATATGAGAGGTGGAATCTGATTGGTCAATAGGAGAGACATAGAAGGGCCATAATTCGTATTAGCCACTGGTGGCGCTACAATCGAGCTCAGAAAAAGAAAATGTATTTCGGCAAATGTGGAAACTTGACTTTCATAGTCGCCCCTGCCTCTGGAAGATGAGGTTGCTGGGGACAACTTCAGACCTGGAATCCTTTTGGATGTATTTCCTTGTGGCCAAAGCAATAATAAAGGAATCAACACAGTTTCACAAGAAGACATTCAAAATTTAAAAAAAGATAGACATCAAAACATAAGAAAAATCAAAAATGGACCACTCATATCAGTGAAAGAACCCTTTTACCTTATCCATTAAAGTGTGCGATTTTATGAGAGAAAGACCAACATAGTAGATAAGTCTTGGGTTCCCAATGTTGAATTTAGTCATCCAAGAGAAGATTAAGTTTGTATGATTAAATTGAACATGTTGAAGTCTAAGTAATTTTTAACACATGACTTATGATATTTACTGTTCATATTTAGTATTTCATTTCCATAAAGTTCCATTTATTTGTTTTAACTTGTTTCAACAGCAGTTTGTCACTTTTGCATTTTTGATGAGCATTTCGACCTATTTTATGTTGGACATTTCCTGGAGATGTTTTAGCAACTACCACTATAACAATGATAAACAAGACTTTTAATGAGAGTTGAACTATGTTTTGAAACCAGAAGGTGAATCATTGAATAAAAGTATCCATCACATGAAAAGTGTATGTTTTGTACAATTGTTCTTTTGAAAGATATGAATCAAAATGTTATGAATGTGTGTTCTGGTTGGCTCTGTTAGATCTGGTTGCGAGGGGTGGGGTTGTTTGGTCTGGTTGCGAGGGGTGGGGTTGTTTGGTCTGGTTGCGAGGGGTGGTGGTGTTAGATCTGGTTGCGAGGAGTGGTGGTGTTAGATCTGGTTGCGAGGGGTGGTGGTGTTAGATCTGGTTGCGAGGGGTGGGGTTGTTTGGTCTGGTTGCGAGGGGTGGTGGTGTTTGGTCTGGTTGCGAGGGGTGGTGGTGTTTGGTCTGGTTGCGAGGGGTGGGGTTGTTTGGTCTGGTTGCAAGGGGTGGTGGTGTTTGGTCTGGTTGCGAGGGGTGGTGGTGTTTGGTCTGGTTGCGAGGGGTGGTGGTGTTTGGTCTGGTTGCGAGGGGTGGTGGTGTTAGATCTGGTTGCGAGGGGTGGGGTTGTTTGGTCTGGTTGCAAGGGGTGGTGGTGTTTGGTCTGGTTGCGAGGGGTGGTGGTGTTAGATCTGGTTGCGAGGGGTGGGGTTGTTTGGTCTGGTTGCAAGGGGTGGTGGTGTTTGGTCTGGTTGCGAGGGGTGGTGGTGTTAGATCTGGTTGCGAGGGGTGGGGTTGTTTGGTCTGGTTGCAAGGGGTGGTGGTGTTTGGTCTGGTTGCGAGGGGTGGTGGTGTTAGATCTGGTTGCGAGGGGTGGGGTTGTTTGGTCTGGTTGCAAGGGGTGGTGGTGTTTGGTCTGGTTGCGAGGGGTGGTGGTGTTTGGTCTGGTTGCGAGGGGTGGGGTTGTTTGGTCTGGTTGCGAGGGGTGGGGTTGTTTGGTCTGGTTGCGAGGGGTGGGGTTGTTTGGTCTGGTTGCGAGGGGTGGGGTTGTTTGGTCTGGTTGCGAGGGGTGGGGTTGTTTGGTCTGGTTGCGAGGGGTGGGGTTGTTTGGTCTGGTTGCGAGGGGTGGGGTTGTTTGGTCTGGTTGCGAGGGGTGGTGGTGTTAGATCTGGTTGCGAGGAGTGGTGGTGTTAGATCTGGTTGCGAGGGGTGGTGGTGTTAGATCTGGTTGCGAGGGGTGGGGTTGTTTGGTCTGGTTGCGAGGGGTGGTGGTGTTTGGTCTGGTTGCGAGGGGTGGTGGTGTTTGGTCTGGTTGCGAGGGGTGGGGTTGTTTGGTCTGGTTGCAAGGGGTGGTGGTGTTTGGTCTGGTTGCCAGGGGTGGTGGTGTTTGGTCTGGTTGCGAGGGGTGGTGGTGTTTGGTCTGGTTGCGAGGGGTGGTGGTGTTAGATCTGGTTGCGAGGGGTGGGGTTGTTTGGTCTGGTTGCAAGGGGTGGTGGTGTTTGGTCTGGTTGCGAGGGGTGGTGGTGTTAGATCTGGTTGCGAGGGGTGGGGTTGTTTGGTCTGGTTGCAAGGGGTGGTGGTGTTTGGTCTGGTTGCGAGGGGTGGTGGTGTTAGATCTGGTTGCGAGGGGTGGGGTTGTTTGGTCTGGTTGCAAGGGGTGGTGGTGTTTGGTCTGGTTGCGAGGGGTGGTGGTGTTAGATCTGGTTGCGAGGGGTGGGGTTGTTTGGTCTGGTTGCAAGGGGTGGTGGTGTTTGGTCTGGTTGCGAGGGGTGGTGGTGTTTGGTCTGGTTGCGAGGGGTGGGGTTGTTTGGTCTGGTTGCGAGGGGTGGGGTTGTTTGGTCTGGTTGCGAGGGGTGGGGTTGTTTGGTCTGGTTGCGAGGGGTGGGGTTGTTTGGTCTGGTTGCGAGGGGTGGGGTTGTTTGGTCTGGTTGCGAGGGGTGGGGTTGTTTGGTCTGGTTGCGAAGGGTGGTGGTGTTTGGTCTGGTTGCGAGGGGTGGGGTTGTTTGGTCTGGTTGTGAGGGGTGGTGGTGTTTGGTCTGGTTGCGAGGGGTGGGGTTGTTTGGTCTGGTTGTGAGGGGTGGTGGTGTTTGGTCTTGTTGCGAGGGGTGGTGGTGTTTGGTCTGGTTGCGAGGGGTGGTGGTGTTTGGTCTGGTTGCGAGGGGTGGGGTTGTTTGGTCTGGTTGCGAGGGGTGGTGGTGTTTGGTCTGGTTGCGAAGGGTGGTGGTGTTTGGTCTGGTTGCGAGGGGTGGGGTTGTTTGGTCTGGTTGCAAGGGGTGGTGGTGTTTGGTCTGGTTGCGAGGGGTGGTGGTGTTCGGTCTGGTTGCGAGGGTAGGTGGTGTTTGGTCTGTCTGCGAGGGGTGGGGTTGTTTGGTCTGGTTGCAAGGGGTGGTGGTGTTTGGTCTGGTTGCGAGGGGTGGGGTTGTTTGGTCTGGTTGCGAGGGGTGGTGGTGTTTGGTCTGGTTGCGAGGGGTGGGGTTGTTTGGTCTGGTTGCAAGGGGTGGTGGTGTTTGGTCTGGTTGCGAAGGGTGGTGGTGTTTGGTCTGGTTGCGAGGGGAGGTGGTGTTTGGTCTGGTTGCGAGGGGTGGGGGTGTTTGGTCTGGTTTCGAGGGGTGGTGGTCTGGTTTCGAGGGGTGGTGGTGTTTGGTCTTGTTTCGAGGGGTGGTGGTGTTTGGTCTGGTTGCGAGGGGAGGTGGTGTTTGGTCTGGTTTCGAGTAGGGGTTGTTTGTTCTGGTTTCGAGGGGTGGTGGTGTTTGTTCTGGTTTCGAGGGGTGGTGGTGTTTGGTCTGGTTTCGAGGGGTGGTGGTGTTTGTTCTGGTTTCGAGGGGTGGTGGTGTTTGGTCTGGTTGCGAGGGTAGGTGGTGTTTGGTCTGTCTGCGAGGGGTGGGGTTGTTTGGTCTGGTTGCAAGGGGTGGTGGTGTTTGGTCTGGTTGCGAGGGGTGGGGTTGTTTGGTCTGGTTGCGAGGGGTGGTGGTGTTTGGTCTGGTTGCGAGGGGTGGGGTTGTTTGGTCTGGTTGCAAGGGGTGGTGGTGTTTGGTCTGGTTGCGAGGGGTGGGGTTTTTGGTCTGGTTGCGAGGGGTGGGGTTGTTTGGTCTGGTTGCGAGGGGTGGTGGTGTTTGGTCTGGTTTCGAGGGGTGGTGGTGTTTGGTCTGGTTGCGAGGGGTGGTGGTGTTTGGTCTGGTTGCGAAGGGTGGTGGTGTTTGGTCTGGTTGCGAAGGGTGGTGGTGTTTGGTCTGGTTGCGAAGGGTGGTGGTGTTTGGTCTGGTTGCGAGGGGAGGTGGTGTTTGGTCTGGTTGCGAGGGGTGGTGGTGTTTGGTCTGGTTTCGAGGGGTGGTGGTCTGGTTTCGAGGGGTGGTGGTGTTTGGTCTTGTTTCGAGGGGTGGTGGTGTTTGGTCTGGTTGCGAGGGGAGGTGGTGTTTGGTCTGGTTTCGAGTAGGGGTTGTTTGTTCTGGTTTCGAGGGGTGGTGGTGTTTGTTCTGGTTTCGAGGGGTGGTGGTGTTTGGTCTGGTTTCGAGGGGTGGTGGTGTTTGTTCTGGTTTCGAGGGGTGGTGGTGTTTGTTCTGGTTTCGAGGGGTGGTGGTGTTTGGTCTGGTTGCGAGGGGTGGTGGTGTTTGGTCTGGTTTCGAGTAGGGGTTGTTTGTTCTGGTTTCGAGGGGTGGTGGTGTTTGGTCTGGTTTTGAGTTGTGGTTGTTTGGTCTGGTTTGGAGGGGTGGTGGTGTTGGTTTTGGTTTGGAGGGGTGGTGGTGTTTGATCTGGTTTCGAGGGGTGGTGGTGTTTGGTATGGTTTTGAGTGGGGGTTGTTTACCGGTTTCGAGGGGTGGTGGTGTTTGGTCTGGTTTTGAGTGGGGGTTGTTTGGTCTGGTTTGAGGGATGAGCTTTGAAGGGAATATTTACGTATCCTGCACCCAACATACTTTTAATGAGATTTCTGAACAGTAACAGAGATACAGTGACATATACAAGCAGACCCTCTCAAATTCATTGATGCATCTACTAATGATGTTGCAGCCTTGCGTGCGTGAATACCCTGTTCCATGGCAAGAGTGTTGAATGTGTCATGTGTGCATGATGACCCAACCTTTAGTTCCCAGCTGGGCTCTGGTAGATAATGACCTGTAGAGAGTGTCCATCACCACTCAGCCTCAGTCATACTTAGGGACATAGTGATAGAGTGATGCTTGCAGTATAATGACAAGAAGCTTGATCATGTGAAGCACTTCCTATTTCCAAAATAAATTTTGAAAGTGAATCACCTGATAGCATATAACTAGAGTAAAAAAGCGACAGGTAGGTGTTCAACAAGTGGTGACAGAGCAGAGCTGTCATTTTTTAACAATGGTGTGATAGATGTGTGTGACATAGTTCCAGAGAGACGTGACAGTAACGTGTGTCACATGAGAGGTGTGTGTCATTGGTAACAGACATGTTTGACATTGTAACAGGTGTGTGACATGGTAACATATGTGTGTAATATACAGTAATAGACGTGTGGGATACAGTAACAGATGTGTGTAACATACAGTAAAGGATGTGTGTGACATGGTAACATGTTTGACATGGTAACAGACATGTCTGACAAAACGTATGTGACATTGTAACGGGTGTGTGACATGGTAACAGATGTGTGTAACATACAGTTACGGATGTGTGTGACATGGTAACAGACGTGTGTGACATGGTAACACGTATGTGATATAGTAACATTTGTGTGTAACATAGAGTAACGGATGTGTGTGACATGGTAACATGTTTGACATGGTAACAGACATGTCTGACAAAACGTATGTGACATTGTAACGGGTGTGTGACATGGTAACAGATGTGTGTAACATACAGTAACGGATGTGTGTGACATGGTAACAGACGTGTGTGACATGGTAACACGTATGTGATATAGTAACATTTGTGTGTAACATAGAGTAACGGATGTGTGTGACATGGTAACATGTTTGACATGGTAACAGACATGTCTGACAAAACGTATGTGACATTGTAACGGGTGTGTGACATGGTAACAGATGTGTGTAACATACAGTTACGGATGTGTGTGACATGGTAACAGACGTGTGTGACATGGTAACACGTATGTGATATAGTAACATTTGTGTGTAACATAGAGTAACGGATGTGTGTGACATGGTAACATGTTTGACATGGTAACAGACATGTCTGACAAAACGTATGTGACATTGTAACGGGTGTGTGACATGGTAACAGATGTGTGTAACATACAGTTACGGATGTGTGTGACATGGTAACAGACGTGTGTGACATGGTAACACGTATGTGATATAGTAACATTTGTGTGTAACATAGAGTAACGGATGTGTGTGACATGGTAACATGTTTGACATGGTAACAGACATGTCTGACAAAACGTATGTGACATTGTAACGGGTGTGTGACATGGTAACAGATGTGTGTAACATACAGTAACGGATGTGTGTGACATGGTAACATGTGTGACATGGTAACAGACGTGTGTGACATAACGTATGTGACATTGTAACAGGTGTGTGACATGGTAACATACGTGTAGTGCATACAGTAACAGATGTGTGTGACATGGTAACATGTTTGACATGGTAACAGACATGTCTGACATAATGTATGTGACATTGTAACGCGTTTGTGACATGGTAACATATGTGTGGTACATACAGTAACAGATGCGTTTGACATGGTAACATGTGTGACATGGTAAGAGACCTATTATTATTTATTAGCATTGCAGACATATTTCAACGAGAACATTATCATTATTACACACCTGTAGACTAGGGGACAATAAAATGGACCGTGATTATCCAGGGTAGAATAGGTCTTCAGCAACACACGCTTGCCGTAAAAGGCACTATGCTTGTTGTAAGAGGCGACTAACGGGATCGGCTGGTCAGGCTCGCTGACTTTATTGATGTATGTCATCGTATCCCAATTGCGTGGATCGATGCTCATGATGTCAATCACTGGATTGTCTGGTCCAGACTCGATTATTTACAGACCACCGTCATGTAACTGGAATATTGCTGAGTGCGGCGTTAAACAACAAACAAACAAACGCTACCTACAGGACATCTCGGTCACTGATGTCCAAGAACTTCATCAACTTGGTCCTCACTCACTCACTCACTCACTCACTCACTCACTCACTCAATAAAACGGAAGGGAAAATATCACATTTGAATATAAAAAAACCCCGATCATTAATATAGAGGAGTATAAGGGACTGACTGTTTGATAGTCTGGGGGTGGTCAGGGATTTTGTATGGATTAAGGTATGTGCATATTATTTTATGCACAGATCTAAACATGAAACAGATGAGGCCCTTTCAATGGTCGCTTATATTTCTAGTTCAGACGGGCGGTCGGGTAGCCTGGTAGTTAAAGCGTTCGCTCGTCACGCCGAAGACCCGGCTTCGATTCCCGACATGGGTACAATGTGTGAAGCCCATTTCTGATGTCCCCCGCCGTGATATTGCTGGAATAATTGCTAAAAGCGGCGTCTCACTACTCACTCACACTAGTTCAGGCGGGCAAATCAGTGAAAGGGAATTTGCTATTTGATAGTTATTGAACGATATCAAATCATCGATATGCCTCAATCTTAAGTTTGACTTCTTGGCCAAATTACCTTCCTTTCACTTTGCCAATCCAAGCAGAAGTTCTGATTCATATGCGCAAAGAAACAGATCAGCAAGAATGGGAGCACGGCAGGTGCCCACGGGGATGCCGACTCCTTGCCTAAATGTCTTACCCCCAAAGTTTATGAGGAAGTTCAGCATTTCACATATTATTTTCTCAGTAAACTTCAGATGACATTTGCTTTCATTTTTGACAAAGTGACCGGAACGTCTGAAGATAGATATGTAACTGTATCTACATGTATGGTCACCACGTTTTGTAACAAGAGCCCCATGGATCAAGGAATGAAGTTTTTCCTAAAGTTTGTCGTGTGGGATAGTGGTGTACAAAGTTGTGTACAGAATTTAACCTGGTTCTTTTCTAAGATTGTAAGAAGTCCAGCAAACCGTGACGTTTGATTTCTTAGTCTCGCAGTATTTAGTGTGCAGTCCCAATGGTTCCCGAAGAAGAGGCAATAGATCTTCTAAATGAATGATGTCTTGTATCTTGGCTTCGTCGACATCTTTGGGATGCCGGGAACAGACTCAATACTTTGACGTTGGAAGTTCAACTTAAGATTCAGGTATTGCGAATCCACATGGTATTAATTCCACTTGTCACAAATATACTGAACAACAAAAGTTCCTTGACATTGAATAAGATTTAATGCAAAGTTATGTTTTTACCAAATCTGAAACAATTTCGGTTTGCAACAGATAAAAGACTCCTGTAAGTGTTCAAATGGTTTCATTTGCCATACTGACTTCAGAAAGTGCGTGATTTCATTAAAAAATTTAATTGGTGGTAGATCAGAGGAGCAAGCCGGCCAGGGGATAACAGTCACGTTGTTTTGTTGAAGAGAATCCTGAACAAGGGACGTCAAAATGGGACGTCTGGCGGGTCTTCTGGCGACAATCCCTGCACATCTAAGGCGACGACGTACGGTTTGTGAAGATATTCGTCGAAGGCCAGGGATGCTTCTTGCAGTCACTGTTGCTGGCTGGAATCGATTTCGTGGATGTGTTGTTCGAATCCAGTTTTCTTGTCGTTTATTGGTTACGCGTGGCCTGCCACTCCGAGGATGGTCTCTGACTGCATTCGTCTGTTGCCAACGTTGCCACAAACCCCAAATGGTGATTCTGTGGACGTTAAATTGTCTTGCAACATCACGTTGACTCGATCCTACTTCAAGCATACCAATGGCTAGCAGACGCTCATTTTCGGACTGGCGTGGCATTTCGTAATGTTGAATAATTGCGTAATTTTGTTGTTTTTCTGAGTGGTTGTTGTCAGCACGATGCTAAACAATGCATATGGAATCCCGTTAACGCACATTTTTATATCCATTCTTGGGTAGTGAAATGCATGGCGCTTGCATGAAAGTCAACTTTTCGATGGAATGCATGCTTTTCTATAGCAGTTGCGTTTTTGTGACTTGATTCCATACATGTACTACAATATTGAAAACCAAACTTTACTTGTTTGAAAAAACACTAAAATATTGGTGTCACAAGAACTATTGTTGTTGAGTATACTTTCTGTGAATATGAAGAAAGCCCTTCCTTGATTGTATCAAGTATTATGGTTAATCTTTGAGACAGGGATTTAGTGGCACATTTGCTGGACCCCTGTACGGATTTTTATGGAGCTTTGGAATCCCGTACAAAAGAGGAATAGACATGTATTCAGGTTTAGCCAAAAGTCGATAGTTCTGATGTATTGTTTTGGTAGATTTCGTCTTCATTTGACATACTGGCCTGATCTGTGGCATTATTTGACGTGTCACTTCTACCAAGTTCTTTGATCAAACAATTAATGAAGTGATGCTAGCATATAATGGTTATGTTATCTGAGCCCTTGTCAGTGGGAACAACTATAATATTTTCATGTTGGGCAGTCAGACTTTGAATTCCATTGTTTGCAAATTTCAAATTCAAGAGCATGCCGAATTGTCTGATTTAGCGGAGTTTGTTTCTGATTTGGCCAAACGTTTTAAAGCAATATCAAAAACAAAACTCTCCAGTCGATATTGTGGGCTTTTACTGTTTGTAGACGCACCCATAAGCAAAGGTTCCTGGAGTCGTTTAATTTCTATCAATGACACATAAAATAGTCTCGTTCCTGCTTTGTGCAGTCCCAATGGTTTATGAAGGAGAAGCAGCAAATCTTCAAATGAATGGCATCTTGTGACCATGGCTTCGTCGACGTCTTTGGTATGCAGAAACAGACTCAATTCATTGACGTTGTCAGTTCGTTGGTTAGAAAGACTGCCACCGTCTTTTATTTTGTCATTACATCCGTATGGAATTGCTGTACACAACTGTCGAATCCAATGATTTTCTCTGGACATTCTATAAGGTTTATGGCTATTAGATGGATGGTATATTTTTTTTGATATCCTAACTTTCATGCAAAGGATGGAGTGAGTTAGAGAAATGTTTACCTTTGGATTAAGGTATGTGCATTTGTTATAGGGAAGTTGGCATAATCAAGTGAAGATATGTTTAATGTTGGATTTAGAGTAACAGCTTGAAAATATCGCACTCTGTAATGTAATATTTCACAGCAACACATAATTGTATCTAAACCGTCCTGGAATGTCCCATTCTGTCCATACAGTAGCATTTGCGTGCAGTTGGTCTTCAATACTCACATCCCGTGGAGTCTGGGTAAGTCGAGAAACTAACGTACGTGTATGGCGGTAGAATGCTGCAGGGGTTTGTATCCTATATCTCAAATACGAATTAATTATTTTTTTATTTGTGTTCATTGCCCAATATTAATATTGATGTATTGGTGAAATGTTTTGTGGAAACTATTATCGTTGTACAGTTGTATATCCTTGCAGCCTAACTACCAGTAAGAAAGTGTGTGCAGGGATACCGACTATATAATAAAAATGTTATACAGGAAGAAATTGGAATGAATTTTATTTGGCCCTGTTGGCCAATGTGACTATCAGGCCACAATGACATTCTTTTACTGTCCTTCAGGCCAACAGACCAACACAAGTTCATTTACTTGGATAATATTGATTTGGAAAGGGATTTGTCGCTTTATTGCATAATATAATGTACACATTTCCTAGAGTCTTGAACAAACTGTGCACAAATTTTGCATGCATAAACATTATTTTCTTATTATTTGATAACAAAATGATTGAATGTCATGATGATTCATATCAGAGTAAAGATATGTAGGGCGTATATCATACAAGGGACAGTCACGGCAAGATTGCACGTTCTTTGTCTTCTAGAAGAGAGCATTCAATACAAAGAATATCCTTATTATGTACAGTACTCAAACCTTTTCTAAGTTTCTGAATGCCTATTGCATTGTATCCTTTTCAAAATTGTATAACGAATGTATTCTTACAGTTAGTTATGTCTATGTCGTAATTATATAGTCTTCTCTTGTAAAATCACTTTTATGAGTTTGGACTGCCAATCTTGTTTATTACCATCGATCTCTGGATGAAGGCATCAAGAAAAGATTTGTTACCGACCTAATCCATACATCGCCACAACAATACAAGAAAAACACAATTCTAATATGAGTAACCGAATTTGGGAATTTTCTACTGTAGGTTTGTCAGAGCATATTATAGCATTGAAATGGATGCCCCGTGTGTTACATTGAAATAAGATGGAGCCAGCATCGAAACAGTTTACGTAAAGAGTAATATAAAAGGGACTCTCCCATAATCATCATAGGTGACACGATTTGGTAACTGGAAACTAGTATCTAGTACAAATTTGCAGAACTTTCGACGGAGAACTTCGATGTTTTCTCTTTGTGTCCCTATATCTCACTTCTCACATCGTCAAAATCTCACTTCTCACATCGTCAAAATCTCACTTCTCACATCGTCAAAGTTGGTGCAATTTTTTTATCAAATATTTCAAAGGTATTTGTGGCAGTAACATTGTGTTTCAGCATTTATTTTGGAACGAGAGCTTTGAGGAAATAGTAGTCCATGACTTTGTCCAAATCATTTTAGGAGTTATCATTAATACCAGATAATTATGCCTTAACAACTTTAAGTTTCCTTCCTTGGATGATCACTTCTCATAATTTGATAAATATCCCGCGTTCATGAAAACCATCATCTGTTTTTTTCAATCCTTGATTTCAATTTCCCACTGAATACAGTATTGGTGCAAACATTCTTTGTAGTCTTATTGTAGAATCTGCTAGAAGTATCAGGTCTTTTGCAGATAATTGAGCAATAATGGCATACAAGTCCTCCGATACAGATATACCATCAACAATTGTTTGTGTAAAATGTGTTAACAGCTCTTTGATGAACATTGAAAGAGAATTGGTCTTAAGGTACTGCTTTTGCGTACACCCGCTTTTTCAAAGAATTACTCTGTATATTTAAATCTATTTTGAAGTCTTACCACTGCTTTAATTAGAACGACCTCATATATAATTTGTATTATCGTGAAGAA